AACTAGACTGTCCCATTGACCACAACTCTCTCTACATTTCTTTCCTTCAATCAATTCACAATCCACCTCACTAACCAATCATCCAGAACCACCCTTCCTCAGTTTAGCTGCAAGGATGCTGTGGGAGATGGTGTCAAATGCTTTACTGAAATCAAGCTACTGCACTACCACTGCACTACCATCATCTATCCACCTAGTTACGTCTTCATAAAAGGCTATCAGGTTGGTCAAACGTGACTCCCCCTTGGTAAAGCCATGTTGACTTCAAAGATCTTGTTCCCTTTTTTGTATGTGTGGCAATTATACTCTGCTCACTGTGGGTCTTGCACTGTTTCTCAGAGCAATGCTTTGAGATTCTTTGTGAGTTCTGACACTTTAAAAGAGTTGCTATTGTCTTCTCCTGAGCACAAAGCGTGGTCTGCCACACACTGTCTATCAAACACCTTGGGAAAGGAGGCTGATGCTGTAACACGCAAACAGATTTGGGGGAAAAAAAAAAAACTTACACTAACCACTGTACCTTGAATTTATTCTCACAGTACAATCCACGGAAATGGTCTAAACGGTCTTCAGGGCTTGCCAAAAGTAGGGCTGACAACTGATCTTATTACCAGACTCCACACACCAAGTGACAATTCAAAGCATTTGTTCTTCTAACTGCTTTATGCCGGGTGGATGCACAGCTCGTACTCTTTGGAAGAACAGCTCACAAAACAGTCCCTCTTCACATCACATAAGCCCTATTAACTAAATATTCAATAGCTGCAATGCATAAGCTTGCTGGGATCATAGATGATCACTGTCTTGATTCCAGGGAGATCTAAGCTTCCTCAGATCAAGTAGGTGGAATAAACATTTCTACATGATGGCATTCTGCTCTGTACAAACTGCCACTTGTGAGTAAAAGGAAATCTGCCTATTTGAACCTGTCCTATGGAAGTCCTACCCCACTACACACTTTTCATTGCCACCTCCAGAAAACTCTGGACACAGGCTGATAGATGTCCACAGATACCATGATAACGAAAACAGACAAATACTAGTGCTTCACGGAAGAAAAGAGCGCCGATATACTAAAAGCATGCTTCTTTCCCCTCCTTGCAAACCTACCTCGCTGCTGAGGGCTGTAAACTTGCAGAGAGAAATTATGAGATTGTCAAACACATCACTAAGGCCATAGTGAGCAGAAATCATCGCACATTTCCTGGGGAAAGAAGAAAACAGAAAATAATGCAGTAAGTCAGCATAGACAAGGCTGTCTACAGGACAGCAGATCAGAGCACTTCTTTGCTGACATTTTAGACCTTCCTCCCCACCCACTCATAATGAATGCTAATGTATAGAAGTCTACTGTTATCCCTCAATCTCAATCCTCATCCATAGATCCTGATATTTGTCTGTGCTGATGTAAGGATCACTTTCAAGAAGCGAGTTTAAACAGACAGACTACTTGCATCTGAACCAATATACCTAATCTCCTGTCTTGCTCTAAGAGTTAGATGCTGAGATTTGTGGTAGCGTTGAAGGTCTCGTTTACAAGACATCATGGCTACAACAGTTCTGGATCTAAGCATGACCAAAGATCGTTCCAATACAGTTTCTCACAGATAGCAAGTATTATGAATACTGGTCATTCGAGAAGGAAAAGAGAAAAAAAAAAAAATTCCCCATCCCATTCAGCCACAGCTATGACCTCATACTTGACGGGTTCTGTTCATACATGGGGATTTTGCCAGCATCACCGTGCAAGTTAAGAATGACTTTCCCCTCAATTCTAAGCAGCACAGCTATGTCAGCAGGTCTTTTAACTATAACCAGGTTAGAGTTTAGAAATACATACCCTAGGCACTTTGATTTATTACAACACAGGAGTCAAGCCAAACAGTGACTGGCAACCAAAAGAGGCCAAGATGGGATGAATCAATACAAACAACAGAACAAAACTAGAGGACCGTAGGTCACAATAAAATGCTCTTCAATTTCTAGGAAAAGTAACAGCTGATATTCACTGTGACGTCTCTAGGAGGTAAACAAGAGACAATGGCCACACTTCAACTCCTCTCTGTCTTCATGAATGCAGGAGTTACCTGAAACCAGAGATAGCCTTCTGGATGATTGTTTCTTCTAAGCTCTTGTCAAAAACATAAGAAAGTGCTGCAATGGTTGGCCCCCACGTCATGGTGAAGAGATCATGGTCATAGCTTCCAGGAGGCACATGGAGAAATATTCCCTCATCAGTGGCACCACGATGCAGAAGGACATTCCAGATGTAGTTTTCCTTCACCAGGCCCGTCTGTTCTTCTGGCATCACTATCTCATCATTTCTATAAGGGAGGAAGGCAGAAAGGTTGAATTTTTCATTCTGAGCCAAACCTAACATTTACACAGTGCCTTTCATTACATGGTCCCAAAGCTAAGCAATACCTATTCTGGTCAGATTTTGCCAGCTCCTGAAACATTCTATTTTCCTAGGCCTGCCTGCTTCCCCTGCCTCTCTTTGATGTCTTGGATATAAAGTCTGGTGGCTCTCAGCAGCACCAAGCAGCAACCATGCAGGGATAGCATGGAAGAAGCAGCTACCTAACACTACAAGTCCAAAATGCAACACGCAATGCAGTTAAAAGATGGGAAATTCTGGACAGCACACTGGCATAGCTTCACACCCCCATCCCAACTCTCACCCCATTAGAGTGCTCTGCATATCTCACTACACTCAAACTAAAAAACAAAACAAACAAACAAAAAAATCAAACTGTTACATCACTGCAATCAACAGTAGGCATGACTACCTTCGTATAAGAATAATGCAAATATTAATATTATGCCAAAATCAAGTATCAGAAAGCCAAGTAGTACAAAACTAAAGATAAAACAAGAAACCAAATGTATAATGGGTGATTCATAACCAGGGTACCACAGCTCCTTATTCTGACTGGATTAAAGCCATACAATAATAAACCAATTCTGACTAACGCCAAGTAGTACTTGCAATCCCAGTTTAAAAATAGATCAAGCCTAAATACATTCCCCCCAGACACTGCAGAAAAGATAACCCTTTGCAAACGATCAACTAATTGAACAAGAGTCTCAAATCTACTAATAGTAGATTGCAGACAATCTGAAAAGTAGATGTCTTTCTACAACAAATCAAAACAATGTGCTTCAGTTGCCAAAGCAGCAATTTTTATGTGCTAACAACAGCTACAAAACCTCTCTTGATTTATGCATAAGAATTAAGATTTTCTCAGTTTCAGGCACCTGCATATTTTGACAAGAGCAATCATTACTGAGATTATGTAAGAAAATATGCTTGCAGTCAATGCCATATTTTTTCTAAGAACCCATATTTGATTAACAAAGCAAGTGAACGGGTTTACTTGGAAAGTGTCAGGAAATGAAGTTGTGCTCAAAAATGAAATGCTGATATCCTGAAGAGATCATGCACTACTTTGTACAGATTATAGTCTGATTGCCCCCCAATAATACAACACTGGGGCAATCTGAGATGCAGCAATACTGAAATGCGACACCAATTGTTTTAGCCATAGAACATACTAAAGCCAAAGTATCTGGTGAAGGGAGGATAAAGGGGAATAGACTGGGACAGAGGCACTAGACAACTGAAAGATATGAGGACATTCTCAGGGTACTATTCAAAACATTAAGACCAACCTCAGGGAGAGAGGCCAATCAAAACTAAACCTCTATTTTATTAGAGCTATTAGAAGAATTTCTAGATATTCCGTACAGGCAGCATCCCCACCTTCCCAGAGAAGGCTTAAAAGGGAGGGTCAGCCTAATCACATTGCCCTGCTTCCAGCCCTAGCCACTGCCTGCCACTGCAGACTGAAACCAGCTGTGGGTCAGAGTCACATCCTGTCTCCTCATTGTGTAATCCTCTCAGCAAATTGGCTGGGCCTGGATTTCCTGATAGGCTAGATTTCCAAGATATTAAAGCTTGCTGCCCAGAGCTAGGCACAAAAGGGCCTCAGTCACCAGGGGTTCTCCTCAAATACTGGTCAGTGTGCCAAGAGCTTCAGGGGTGGCAGAAGAAATTGGTGCGGACAGCAGCCTCATATGAAGAGCTCAAAAGCAGAACTTATGAAAGTGAGACTTGGACATGTAATGTCAGGGCACCAGTGCTGTCCTGGGGATGAGATACTATCTCTAGCACTACATTAAAAGTTCTAAAGAAGTCTAAAGGCCTAGTCTAGAGGTGAACAGCCTTCTTAGCATTTCACATGTGCTGGTCTTGCTCAGCCATTCTTTTGCATATTGAGAGAAGTAACATTTTTTTTTTTTTTAACTTTGGCTTAAGATCTGTGGATTGAAATACCGTGGCAAGAATTCAAATATATAAATCGATGCAATCACTGTGACAGGCTTGTTACCACAGCCCCACATGGAGCTCGAAGTTGGTCTGAGGCAAACAGGCACACGATCGGTGAGTCTCCGTGCTCTCCAGAGCCCTCACAGACGAAACAACTCTTAGTTTGCGCTCTGCATACAAGGAGATGACAGGTTGATTCTTACTTTATGGCATGGTACATGTCTTCCAATATGTCCTGTTCAAAGTCTTTGCCTCCATTCACACCTTTCAGGTTCTTCCGAAACTCCTGAAAAAAGTTATACCAATGTTAATTCCCAGAATGTCCAGCTTTAACTGCTTGGCTAGGATCAGTACTCCACTTGTTTTTCATGTGACCAGAAGGAGATTTTCCTGCATTCTTCAACATGCAGCCTCAAAGTTCAAAGAATAAATGCAATTCTTAGTGGTAGCAGTGTGCAGCAACCTCTGTGTCTGCTCACACAGAAAGAACAGCAACACATGCTTAGCTAGACAGCAAAATGACAGATCTGTACCACTGCATTGACAGTCACAGGACTTAACTCTCCAGAAGCCCAGAGCAGTCCAACAGTCTTCTCATTCTTACTATGTCTTAGGATACAGTTTGCTTACACACACACAAACACATACACACACAACCTCTTGACAAACTTGGCAAGTTGTCTGCTAAGCTTGTTATTTCTTCAAACTGCCCCTTGCCCACAGCTCCCCTCTCCAACTGTACTCAACTTCAGTGCTGCAGACCAGTTTATTGTGTACATGAGTGATGAATGCCGGGGTGGGGGGAAAAAAAAAAAAAAAAGAATGCCATTGAGATAAAGCCAGGTACTACATTGCTATCAAAACCAGGGAAGACAGGTACCTACACTGGTAACAACCCACCTCCAGAGTCATTGGGACGTTCTGCTTGCGGACATTGTGGTTGTGCTGGTCAGTGTTCAACATAATAACTGCATAGGCCAGGGCAAAGCAGGCGTCACTATTAGCAAATGGGGACCCATTTGATTTCTGAAAGGCAAATGTATGCAGAAATTAGTCCTACAGGAACAGCAATACCAGTGACCCAAGACCAACATTTTCCTACCCACGGTACTGAATCACCTCTGGGACAAACAAAAACCTCAGGCTCTGGCTCCAGCTTCCAAAAAGGAAATTTATGTGCCACTGCCACCTCCTACAAAACAACAGCTGCTGCCTCCAGGGCACAGTAAGCTTATATAGGCAGTTTGATCTGACATGTCCATCATGACAAGCAGATGCACAAGAACAAACAGAGTTTTGAGCTTTCTGCCCACCAAGTACGCACCCTCCAATGTTCTGTGAAGGCTTCCAACAGTCTCTGTATTACGGGCGCCTCTCCTGGTAATCTGAAGGCCTCTAGGTAAAGTCGTAAAGCTTCATCCAGCCTTAAACCTTGGAAGCTAAAAGTCCTGCAAGAAGAAGGAAATGCAATGAGAAAGTGAAACAGAATGGGAAAGGTAGGATAAACTTACTGACTATAATCTTGCTCGTTTCATTGTCAGAATACCAGATTTCACAGAGAACAGACAGTAAAGAGGGGAGGGTGAGGAGAGAAGAAATATACCATGAACAGGCAAAAAACCATAAAAGAGGCGATTATGAACGTAAGCATCTCTCCAGCCTTCACAGAGACTGGCCCTACTGAAAAAAGCTTGAGTATCATAGTATCACATGTATCTAAGGTGTCTCTGCTAGAGACACACAGAATTAAGGCATGGTGGTACACAGAGAATCAAGCGATACAAATCCAATGCCTCCAGGAACTACTGTTTACTGCCTTTCTACCACCAAACTCTCTTAACTTTCACTCTTTATGATTAAAGAGATACAGAAGTTACTCACCCAACAAAGCTTTCCAGCAAGTCTATGTTCTTACGATCACTCACAAATTCCCCAATCATCTTTTTGTCCAGGCGAGGATTTTCCCGTAGCCACCTGGCCACCTCATTGTTGTCAATGGGGGTGGCAAGAAGGTTCTTGTCCTGTAGAAACTGTATCCCTTTCTTTGGCTTTTGGTTGAACTGCTCTGTGCCGGTTATCAGGAGCTAAAAGGAGACATTCTGATAATTACAAGCTTGAAGTGCATTTCTTACTTTAGATTGTTCTTAGCATTTGAACCAAAAGCAAAGCAGAAAATAGATCAACCTCAGCATGATCAAGTTTATTGTACTGTGTAATCCAGCAAGAAGGCTAACCAAGGCCAGAAAACCTGCATTCATCACAAGGGTTCACTATCAAATAATACTGGGCAGAGCAAGCACAAGTTGCAGTCTTTAAAAAGCTTTGACATTTCACCAAGCAATTAGCTCTGCTACCCCAAATGCCTCACCTGCTCTAGTATGTAAACAGAACAGAGGAAGATCTCTGATGAACCCCAGACATGTGGCAAGATCAACTCTACTCAGCTATAACAGCAGCACTGCTCCATGCCCTCCTCTTCTGTCCCCTTTGGCTCCAGGCTCTCGTACCCTTCCTCACTGCCAGAAGACATGCGGCAAGAATCCTTGGCACTTATTCAGCAAGTGCAAGGAACAAGTGCTGCAGAAGCTTATACTAAGAACCAGAAAACATTCTGCTAGTGAGGCATGGTCCCAGGAACACCTGGTATTCCAGCATGACAAAGCTATCTGTAGGCTGGGAAGCACAGGTACATTTTTGGTTTTTAAGGGAAGTCAACTACTCTTCCCTGCTTGATTCTTATTTTAGAACACTAGACTGTACCACAGCCAGAGTAATAAAATGCATGACTAAGAAAGGGTTAACTGAGTATTCTTGGTGGTAGTTAGAAAAAACAAAAGCACAAACAACTGTATGAACTTTACTAAGGCACCAGAATAAATGTCAGTTCCCTGTTAGCTCCTATCACGATCAAACTGCTAGTGATGACCTAGTGAACTAAATTCGTGACCATCATGATTACTAGCTCCCCTGGGTTTCTCAGTACCTCAGAAGCCACCAGCCCTCTGTTCTCTGCTTCCCCTGCCTGTGTGAACATCCTCAAATTGCAGCGAAACACAGACCCTGAAATAGCATGGAGTGCACAGTGATGGCATAAGAAATGTTCTGCCCTGTTACAATGGGCCTGAAGGGACTGTGTGACACCAGTAGCACTTCTGTTCAGCTATAAATCCTGTAACCCAACCCACCTGGAGTGTATTATGGACTGGTTATACTTCTTAAGACCACATGAAAGAACACCAGACTGCTGGCAGCGTGCACTGCATTTATGATCATGTCAGTTCTATGCTTCTGAGCATCTGGTTGTTGCCTTTGGAAACATCAAAGAAAACTTCCCATATGATGCATATTTTGTTTTCTGCTTTTATTTAGCTTTTTTCCTCCTTCCAGCTGTGGTAACATGTAGTACAGAGGTTAAAGGAAGCAGCACATGCTGGTGCTGTCAGCATCAACATCCCTTAAGCTGAATGTTTTGTGTGCCCTGTTAACATTAGCAGGTTTACATGAAACATTAGCAGATTTAGGGTCAGTAAAGGACCTTCCCTGGGCAAACTAACAGAGATTTATGAACACCTTTCTGCCTTCTGCTGTAGTGTAAAGCACTGCCCTTTTTCTAGGATCACCTAGAACTTTCTTTAAAGAGCTCTAGGCCACTGGCAATGCTCCTGATTTCTTCTAACCTTGTTTTCCAGCAGAGCTAAGCTGGAGTGTTATCAGAGGTTTTCAGTTAGAACAGTGGAAGCTCTATACAAGCTCCCTTCTCAACAATGGACTTCCACACAAAGTCCATCAGCAAAGCTGCCATGAAAGCTTTAATGCAAAGCAAAGGGTTACAAACGAAACAGTAACTAAATCAATATGCATTTCTTAGAAGTTAGCTAATGCCAAAACTTGGTGGTTCCTTTGAGGACTGTGCTGACAAGCACTTCCCCCCACTATCCTTATGGCTTGGGAAGCCACATTAGCACTATCCCTCTGCAGTATGGTGTTGTAGGTAAAGAACCAAGTTCCTAAGTACTGCAGCAGCCTTCCTAGAGAGAAATTGATGTCTTAAATTACATTCAGATCCAGAGACTGTCAGAGCAGACCACAAAGGACAGATTAGAATGGCAGTAGAAAGATCTGCTGTACTTTCTTCAGTATTTTTGCTTAATTAAGTTCAAACAAATACAACCACCTCTCACCTTATAATGTAAAATAACACCTATGCTGGAGAGAGAAGTCAGAAGACTTTTAGTCAGGTACAAATCAAAACCCCTTCTCTTTAACACCAATGAATCATTCAAAGACATTAACTTTTCCCACTATATCATCTGGCACCTTACCCCACAACTACTACGGCCACTCATGTTTCATTCATTTTCATACTGAAATTTAGTAATCTCTCACTTTCTAAATAACCTAACTACCTCATGTATATGTTGTGCAAAGAGAACAAAATCTGTACAAAGAGCACCTATGAATAATAATAATAAAAAACCAACAAAAAACCCAACAAAAAAAAACAGTCCCATGAAGCCCATAGGGACTTTAGATATCATATTCATCCGCTTTCTCTGGAGGTAGACAAGCAGGCCAGTACTTGATATTTAACACAAGACAGCAGATAAATACAAAGCCATCAGCATGGAGCACCTTTGTCAACACTAGACCTAGACTCAAACCACTCAGAGTATGGAAAAATCTGTACAAAGTTTAGACCATAACTTGGATTAATGAGGTTCAAAGAAACCGACACCTAGACAAAGAATGGTTTTACCACAATCAAGACAATCTTTTCACTCATCCTTATGATAAAGCAAACATGGGAATACACAAATCAGAATAGCAGGCTAGACTGTTAATTTCTACTACAGGCCTCCTGGTATGCTCCCCATTTACGGCTTTGACACGAGTAGGGAACCTGCCCTTTTTGTTGAAAGTGCCTGCTTATCTCCATATAATGCAAACTAGATCTAGCAACTTTCCTAGCCAGAAATCAGATGGACCTAGCTTACAAATTGTGCCATAAAATTCCCCCAACACCTCTTGCAACTTTTAGCACAACTAAACCAGACAGATTATAATCACTGCTGTCTCTGCAGCGTAGCAAAATTTTCAGTGACTATTTAATTCTCATCAGCAGAGACTAGAACTCAAAATTTCTAAGATATGACCAATCATGCAAAGCCCACATGGGATGGGAAACAAGGAAAACACTCAAAGATCCATTTGTAGTGTATTACAAATCATACCTTTTTTTTGTTCTTAATCTGCATAAGTTCCTGAGGGCTTGGAAGGATACAGGAGAATCGAGTAGGCTTCCTAGGGATACTCTTCTCAGCTAGAAGGACGAAACATCATTACAGTCAAACCTATCCCCAGAGTAGCATTCAGCTCACTATAGTGTCCCATCGTAACTTTCAGTCATGAAGTCTTGCTGCAATGTGCTGCCCTGCAAACGGCAGTTGCACTCCTACTACTCAATTACTACATTCCTCCCACCCACATCATCTTCAGCATAATTGCATAGTAGCTTCCTGTCCTGGACAATTTCGCATACCCACAAGATTGCATTTTCTGGCTATTTTGACTACCTACATTACTGATCCCCTGGATGGCTCTTAACTACCTTAAAAATACTAATCACTGGTATGAATTTCACACACTTTTGCCCCAAATCAACCCACCAGATCTATACCCCTCCCAGAAGAAATGCAACAGTTAGTCGGCATATATAGCACACATATAATAAACAAATATTCATCACATTATCTCCTTATAATTTTGAACACACAATAGCTACAGCAGTCTACAGTACAGCAGGACCAGTCAGCAAATACCAGGACCATTATCAGCATACACACACTCAAGAGTGTCAGGGCACTGCGGAGACTATTACCTGCCTCACTTCCTCCTTCCAATTCCATGCAGCCCTCCTTCATCTGGTCAGCCATAAGGCACCCACTGGTGGGAGGACATGCCCCAGCTGGCTCTGAGACTGCACTGGAAGATTTTCCCTCACTGAGTACTCTCTCATTACCTGCAGAAGTTTAAAAACAACAACAACAAACAAAGCCAAAACAAAACAACAAGAAATCCACACATAAACAAACCCATAAGCAAAAAACTAGCAACAGAGAAATAATGAACTGATCACTCTAAACTGAACATGTGCTTATTGAAAGTTCTCCCCAGTAACTGCAATTCCTCCACATCCTCAGTATTTTGTCTATATAAATTTCATGGCATACTCTCCTTCTGTTTTGACTGCCAGTTTTGACAGGGCCTTTATATAAAGTTTCATATGAAGGGCACATTTTAATATCTGTAAATTTTACAAATAGAAACGTTATTAAAATCAGTCGGTAGTTACAAAACATGCAATAGGAAGACTAAAACCATAAATTTAAGGAGCTTATTATGTCAGCTACCAAAACAAGATCTGCAAGTTTAGCATGAGACTAAGCTTAATGTCAAAATATCAGAAGAGGTGTCTTACTATTGCTTGTTTCTTTGGCGCTGTTCATGGTTTCTGGGCTGGATTTGACAACTTCCTTCTCTTGATGTATGTTACTCAGCACTTTGGCCCTGCAATGTGCCTCGGTGCTATCTATCACCGTCAGCAATGCTTCCAGAGACAGCAAATGGACAGTATACAGCTGTCCAGAAACTGGGAAGGCATTCTGGGAAATAAAATGTAAGTATTAGTCAACTTTCATGCCTCTCTCACCATAACGGGGGAAGGAAGGTTCCCCCACAGCTTGGGGAAGCCTGAAGCATACAACGGAAAACCATAACCTTTTCACACAAAGCTTTCTAGCATATACTTAATGGTTTATCTGCTCTGACATTATTAAAGCATCATGCCTACTCTTTTCTCATCTGCTTCCAAATGTTAAATGGCTGCCTTTCCCTCTACAGACTAATCATCCCAAATCGTTTGACCGCTCCCATTCTCAAGTTCTGCACCTGCGTTTAACCTGGGTCCGAGTTGCCAGCTTCCCCTTCGGCACGCGCTGCCCCCTCCCGCCTGGGCCCGCAGCCCCCTGCCCGTGCTCCAGCACCTTGGAGAGCAGCTTTGTGAGCTCCTCGAAGAGGTTGGCACAGTAGTAGTCACAGTCATAGTTAATGTAGAGCTCGGTCACGAAACTGGGAATCCTCCACAGCTGAACAATGGCTTCTAAAGCCATCTCCTTCATTTCATAGGGCATCTTTGGGTTTTCCATAGTGATTATTTCCATCAGCTTCTTGACATACATCTGGCAGAAACACAGGGCAGCTCAGTTTAAGGAAAGAGAAAAAAAAGCAGGACAGTGAATAGCTTTGAGGACTACAGAAATAGATTTAAGCTTCACCATCCCACATGACACTCCATCTTTAACGATGGCTCATTCTGAAGGAGGTTGTAAAAAGGTTTCAACTAGTTCTACCATTCAGTGTACCTGGATTTAACATTCTAAAAAAAAACAGTATGAAGACAGGCAGTGCAGTACACCATTCTCAAAGACTTTTTATTATCCAACAAGAAAAGGCCTACACAGCCTACCTGTACACACCGAGTCATTTGTACAAAGGTAAATTTATATTTAGACTGTATCTTACTGCCTAGCTATATACACTTAAGTGATGCCAAATAGTCTATCACTAGGCACCCAGTGATATTCAAAAAACTCACCTCCAGCTGGAATTTCAGATGCTCTCTCATGCTCTCAAAGAGAAGAAAGCATACCCTGAGGGAGGTTGCATACAGATTGAGCCGTTCAACACTCAGTAGCTGAACAAGAAACAAAAAAATTCCTTTAAGAATTTCAAAGGCTAGTCATTATGCACTATTAGGTAGCAGTACTGTGGCACTGTAGGCATCACCTACAACAGCCTCCAGATCCACATATTGCCTCCCATAGCAATGGCATTTCAGAAAACAATCCCTTATTCCACCTCCTGGTCTCACTTTTTTCTAGTGAGGATGAATATACTTAATTCCCTTCTGCTTGTGGTAGGTAACACTTTTCCTACTACAACTTTGTTCTTTTGCCAAGTCCACAGATCCTCTTAGCGGAGAAGGAACTTGGGAGAAGACCTGCCTCTGAGACAGCCCTTGTGCAATTAATAGCTTGGTACTCCAAAGGTTCTGCTTCCTACTAAGCTGGTAATTCGCATTCATAATTACATCAAAACACAGTGTTATCCCACAATAACAGTTCATTCAAATCACCTTCATCCTTCTTGGCCCTGGTCTGAAAAAAATAGCACACAACCACCTCTCTGGCTTTGCAAGAGCACTGTTTCAGTGGTCCTATTCAGAATTCTCATTGCAAAGCAGCAGAGAGCTTATTTGAAGACTGAGATCTGTCAAACCTCAGAATACTAAATTACAAAAGACTCTTTAATGCAAATTAATATCTGACTCCAAAGAGCTATATGCCATGCTAATATAAGCCAGACTCACTTGAAATAGGTGCCGGCACAACTCCTCCTTCACAAGTCCCAAGAGGGACTGGCAGTTTGCAATGGGTGCTGATTCCAGGGCAACAGTTAGTAGCTGCAGCCCCATGTGGATCATCACTTCAGAGTTGTGGCGGTCATGAGGGTTGGTGAGTGAGATAAGAAAGCGGAACAGTTCTCTAATACATGGTAGCCCATATGGGACCAGTGCTGCTCCTAAAGGGAAAAAAACCAAACCAAAACAAAAAACCCCCAGAGATTAGCACTCTTAACTTTGATTTTTGCAGTTGTCTAACAAGTGTTACAAACGAAATTTGTTACAGATCTGCTGAGGAAGAGGAGCTTAACACCATCTCAGTAGAAAGTGAAACAGAATAGCAGAAAGGAGAAAGGCAACACTGCCCACCTCTCACCTTCTTTTTGGGAAGACTGAGTAAAACGTACACCTCTAGGATTTACATAGTCCATGTCATGAACTGAGGCAGAGTCAGAATGTTCTGCTACAGACGTGCATTCCTCTAGGACCTCAGGGATAGACTCGACAGAAGCTGACTGGATCTTCTCCTCCCTCAGACTTTCATTCTTCATTGATATCAGTCATTTGAGAATGAAAAAAACAAACCAAGAGTTAACAAGCACTAGACAAGCTGAAAGAAAGACTTAGTTCATTTATAACTATTAAAACTACAGGTCACTAATGGAAAGGGAGCAGGAAAATAAAATTTAAGAGAAAAGAGCTCCTCTAGATAATCCACAGCTCTCTCTGCCCTTTCACTTCTTATCTTTTTACAAAACTCCAGGTTGCGAGACTAAGGACTTTACTTTGAAGATACTCCTATAACCTATCAGTTCTTACTGTCTCCAGGCTTAGGATTTGGCTCATTTTTTGGTTCTAAATGCTAAATAATTTCAGCACATTACCTACGCCTTCTTAGCATTTTCACCATTCAAAAATATCTGCAGCTCTGAAAGGTTCCCTGCAGTTCTAATCCATCCTTTCAACAGTATTACTGTTGCAGGTGAAGTGGAGACAACACAGAGGAAAATATACTGACAAAGACCTTGGTTCGCGTTTGTTATATTTCACAGCAACAGCAATACACATGCACAAACACCAACAGCTGAATTTCTACAAACTCAAGTAAAATTATTCACTAAAGATAATAAAACGTGTTCTGCAGCTTCCCTTCTAACAGTTTCTCCTTTAATTAAGGTTAATGATACCATTAACAGGAGTACAACTAGCTATGTAGGTGTATTGTTGGGCTGCACAGTTATAATTTCCGAGTCAATGGGGATGGTCTCAAGAGAAAACACAGAATGAATGTTTGTGAATTTACAAGTCACTTATAGTGAAGAGTGTTTCATCCTGACCCTAAGCCTTGAAATAGAATATATACCCTATGACCAAAAAGAGAGACAGAAAGAAAGTGTGCTAAACACACAACTGATTATGCTGGGAGTTGGAACTTTTCTTTATAGATTATAACCAAGTACCTGGAGTTCTG